GATTTATACTCTCCTAAGGGTAGCTTAGGATTGAGGATCCATATTCTCTTAAGGGTAGCTTGACTTTGCATTGTAAGAGCATTTCGAGGGTAGCTTGAGTTAGGTTAGTCATGGTAGCTTGGGATTGAGGACTCATACTCTCCTAGGGATAACTTAGGATTGAGAATCATACTGGGATAACTTAGGATTGAGAATCATACTCTCCTAAAGGATAGCTTGCATTTGTATCATAGTATACTTGTAAGGGTAGCATGACTTAGTTGGTTTGGGACTATTTCATGGTAGCTAGGATAGGACACTTGTACCTTTGCTAGAGTAGCTTGGACTTGCATGTTAGTGTGTCTTCCAAGGTAGTTAGCTTAGCCTAATATAGTTATGTTAGTAATATGATAGCATGGTCTAGCCTATTAGGGGGTTATTCCTTAGTAGCCTTGAATTGAGAAATAGAGTTCATTCATAAGTTGTGACTTGCCTACTACTAAATAGAGAAGTACCTTAAATGAATAAAGGGAAATAGTCAAGAGGGACTAGTCCCCAACTAGTGAACATTCATGATAGTCTAAAGGGGTACTTAGTGTGGATAGTAGTATGGGATGCTATCCATACATTGCACAAGTGATAAGTCCACGATTTGGACTTACTTAGGGCTATATTTTAATAGATTTAGTGTCCTCAAATGCATATTTTGTGCCAATAACTGATGTAAATCCTTGATTTTCAGGTATTTGGATTGAGGAACAAAATATGGACACTAATGAGCAAAAAAGGAACAAGGCACCTGAAAGAACGAAGAAAAAAAAGGCCTGAGGATCGCCTAACCCATTGGGGCGAGTCGCCGAACGGTTCCGCGATGCAGTGCTATATCGCCCAAAGTTGCAGGACTTAAAGTTGTTGAAGGCCAAAGCAAAAAGGCGATGGAATTAACCAAAGGGCGGATCGCCGAGTGGATCGGCGATCTCGACTTACTTTGCCGAATGATCCTTCGCAGCACAATTTTGGCGACTATAAATACATTTTTAAATTCTTAGTTTAGGGAGCAATCTATCAATCTATCAATCTAGCAATTAATCTATATATTCTATCTATCTATCTATCTATCTATCTATTTATCTAGATTAGAACTAAGAGTATTGAGACAATATTTCTCCTTAGCTTTGAAGATTTCCATTTCTGAGAAATTAGAAGTGGGTGTTGAAGATTATTCATCTTAGACTTCTGTAAAGACAATATTAATCTTACCCAGTTGATGGAAACACAATTTGGTAACGATTTTTATCTTTTTATGATATCTAGCTAAATCCCAATTCTTGGGGTGTGATTATGGGTTGATTTAGTTGCTGGGTATTGTTAATTGATAGTTTAAATGCTGTTTAAAAGTGATTTCATTCAGTAATTGTGGATTAATCTAAAGGGTTGTAGTTGCAAATGCAACTCTACCTTCGTGTTTTTGGCTTGCTTGGGAGAGAGACTAGTGTATCGCCCCAGCTTCAATTTATTGAGGATCTGATTGGGCGCACTGCTAGTGTATCGTCCCAGCCTTAATTTACGAATAAAAATCACATGATTGGCATGAGGGTGAACGAACCCAACACTATGAGAGCTTACATACCTCTTAGGGATCAATCCTTGGTAGTTACCTACTTGTCT